CCCCAAAACCCCAAAACCCCAAAACCCCAAAACCCCAATAAGGCTAAATTTTATTGAAAATAAAAAGAAATAATCATGGGAGCCTGTGCATCAAAGAAACTTGATGAAGAAGATATGGATATTGATAATCCTAATTCTCATCCAATCCAAATAGAGTGATCTACCTGGAAGAGAGACTCACACGGTCTGTTCGATTACGAAACCGGCGAGTCCATCAAAACCTCCCTCAAAGTCACCGGGTCAACCAAGCTCTTCAGAGGAGCCAAAGGCATTGAGCAGTCTGCCGTCAGCAAAGACCAGCGTAGAAAAGCTGACATCATTCTTGATGTTTCATTCGGGTCTCAGCAAAATATTGAAGGTGAGGAAGGCCTTCTTGAAGAAGACAAACAAAGCTGCGATATGAGCCAGAGCGAAATAGAGCAGCACAATTAAAAAGGACCGGCCATTTGCTCATATTGTGCACAGATTTGGGAGGTTTTGGATTTATAACAAGAATACGTATAACAAGAATGACACCCAAACTGGCGATCCTGAGAAGTATATCTGGTACACTATTCGAAATTATCCAGGCTCTGCTTCCTCAAATGGTTATAAAATAGCTGAGAATGATATACTGAAATTCGGAAGAGCAAGATTGAAAGTAATCAAAATGAAAACAAAACAACAACTCGAAGGTGCACTCGAATGTAACCTCAAAGTGACGGAGAAATTCGAGAAATGTAAGCTAAACAGTCTGAGCACTACTCTCCATGAAAAAGGAAAGGAGATGGAGGATGAAACCAATAGCTGTAGGATATGCTTCATGGAAGGTGACTCTGATAACCCCCTCATCTCCATCTGAAAATGCTCTGGCTCAATGAAACATATTCACCAAGAATGCCTGAAAGGATGGATCAACAGTAAGAAGGTAGTCCAGGCCAAGAACAATGTGATTACATATCTCTGGAAAGCCTTTGAATGAGAGCTTTGCAAACTTAGTTATGATGAAGTACTACAAGAGAAATATGGACTATTATGTTATGATAATCCCTATACTCAGTACATTATTCTCGAAGGAATAAACATTAATAGCTCAAAGAGCGTTTACATAGTGAACCTTGACACTGATAAGGACTCATTCATCATTGGCAGAGGACATGACAGCGATATCCGAATCTCTGACATCAGTGTGTCCAGATGTCATGCCAAGATCTTTAGAGAAAAAGATGGTTTAATTCTCAAAGATCAGAACTCTAAGTTTGGCACTCTAGCCTGAATGAAAAAGCCTTGATGCTTATCGAATTATTCATCAATCCACCTCCAAGTTGGTAGGACTCTGTTGTCAGTGAGTTTGAATTCGAAAAGAGATTGGAGTCTGAATGGCTGCCTCTGGCTCTCTCAAGACAATACACCAAAGTTACCTGCTGAGAAGCTAGATAAGTATATATGAAACAATAACATTACTGATGAGATGCTCCCAAAAGAGTTCACAAGACATCTAAAGAAAGATGTTCAGCAGACTTCTTCTCCAATGGTGAAAAAGACACCCTCCTCTAAGTGAAAACCAAAGGAATTAGTTGATGATTTTGACTCCTCCTCTGCTTCTAAACAATGAGAATCGATGCCTGACTTATCTGTAGAGATGGAGAAGTATGATTTCTTCTTCAGAACCAGGAAAAGTATATAGCTACCTCACCATTCTGATTAATAGTACTTTCAATATTGATGGAGAGTTACGGGGTTTTGGGGTTTTGGGGTTTTGGGGTTTTGGGG